CCCCCCCCCCCAAAAAATAGTGTTTCATTTGGACCATATTGCTGTCCCGGGTCGATCAATGGCAAACCTAAAAGCGATCCTCGAGCGTCTGACAAGTGTTGGGTTGAAGCCTAACCCCTTCATGTAACTTGAAGTAATGTATCTTGGTCACGTAATATCCGCTTACGTGGTGCGAAGCGAACCAGATAAAGTCGAGAAGGTAAAGAGCTGGCCCATACCCCAAAAAACAGATATCCGGAGCTTTTTGGAACTGGTCTCGTATTGCGGGAATTTTCACATATAGCTGCCCCCTTACCGAGTTGATATACAAAAAGGGAAGGTATTGAATTGGGTGGCTGAATGTACTCGAGCGCTTAACCATTTAAATATATATACGCAACCAACAGGGGGTGAGCAGAGTTTCAACCAATCAGAAGCGAGTTCGTCTGCGGGGTATTGTATGACTCGTTTCCCTATGGATCCCGTCTTTTTGTTGATCCGGTTACTGTTCGGTGTCTGCGAAAAAAGGAAGAAAAGACAGACAGCGTTCCTATCGTTCCGCGTAGCTAAGACATCTGTTCCATGGGTTTCTTTATGCCATTTGTTTTCACGAATCTGTTCCATTTCAGAGCCCAACACGCTGCTCTGAAGATTAACCAAGTGAAGATTCTTTTCCATCAACTATACTGAATATGGACCAGTTCACTTGACACATGCTATGAACAGTCTTTCAGAACTTTAATATGGACTGCTCTTTTCCTATCGCTCTCACGACACCTAAGGCGAGGACGAGGTGTGGAGCCCCCTAGCATGCCATGCATTAGGGGTCTCCATCGCTGTCTGGCACCTCCCTCACGGGTCGCTCGACACTGTCCGACGTACTTGGCTGTCCTCAGTTAGACAGTTCACGGCACCTCAATTCCTCTTCAAAGGAAGAGTTGCTCGTGGTCGAGCTGTGTGATGTGCAAAATACTCAGAAAATAATAAAATCCATTTGCATAATGTCACTGACTGTACATAGACACGTAGACAGATTGCTTGTGTCTGTTGGCCATATGTATTCATTGTACACTTCATTTTGATTTTGTTTTCGCAATTGTGTACCATGATCAACTTTTTCCTAGCTGGTGTTACTACATATAGTTAGGATTCGGCTTGAGGCACACAGTTGTTTTGTTTTTCGTTTTTTTTGCCTAGATTCGACACCAAAATCCCTAGCCATTAAACCCTATTGATCGAATGCTTCTTACGGCACCCTTCTTGAGGTGGAAGGTGGTGTATTGGCCTCAGACCGACAGTATAGCATGCTCAAGAGTTGTCACCATCTTTAGTCTGCCTATTCCCAATGTATGTTTTCACATGGTTGCAGGCATTGGTTGCTTGAAGCTTCTCGCTCGTGCGTCCTTCTCCTTTGTAGCATAGATTCGGACAGGATTGTCGATACCCTGAGACCGCTTTTTCAGCTTGGTCGTTCATCTTTGTTTTAGTCACTGCCACCTCCGGCGAAGTAACTTAACTTTAAACGATGCGTGAGCTCAGTGCTACACTTTCGCTTGCCAAGCCCTTTGCTTTGAGACACTCGAGCGTAATCAGGCTAAACTTCCGGTACTTTTAATGGAACAATATACTTTCGCTTAACTAATCGGTCGTTCCTCGTGATACCTAAAGAGACATCGAGAAGCAGGGGAGATTAGAGACCGAATAAGTTTCACACGATGTGAGAGAGCGCCTCCATCTCTAAAATACTATGTATAAAGTGAAACACTTATTTTTAATAGTGCATAAAAAAATCAAGCGGCATGAAAATAAAATAAAGAAAAATTGAATAAAGATGAAAATCAACGAAGTGAATGGAGTAGAAAAAACAATTCAAAAACAAACAACAAGACTGAAATGTTATGCGTCTGAATGTAACAGATGTGCCAAAATACCGCTTAGCGTATATGAAGTGTTCTCCCAAATAAACTTGTGCGGTTCACGCTCCGACTCATTGTTGACCCACTCAAAATTGGGCGACAGTTGAACAGCCAGGCGGGAACAAATTAATCCAACAGACAAATCGGACTCGGTACGGCTATCGGTCGGTGTCGGTTTACGGCTGGTTGGGTGATACACGCGTCCGGATTTAGGATACATATGCAAGTGCTCTGGCATGAACGGGACCGACAGCTTTGTTGTTTTTTCCGAACCATAGAGTAAATGCCATTTCTGATCCGACAATTGTTTTAAGTCCACAAACACCGTGGGTTTGTCGTCACATCGCAAATAGTTACGTTCACGTCCGCATAGAGACAAAAAAGGGAACTCATTCGTGTACCGTCCCGTGGTGTTAACTTGTAGTCTTGAGAAGAAGAAATCAATAAAAAAAATATCTGTATCAAGAGCAATGATTCTGAAGGAGAAAAAAGAATACCTTTGAAACAGGAGGTGAAATTCTTTGTCGGCACATCATCTAGAAAAAGCTATTGTACCAGCCTGTGGTTGTTGCATATCGGTGCAAACCTGTCCGTTGTGATCCACAAAATAGAAATATTCTCGCACAAAGCGCATTGGGGATTGGCCTTGAGTGTAAATTGAACGACATAGGACGCGGCGGCGCACTCGGTTCGTTACCATTCGCAATGAAAGCATATCTCGCGTGATATGCCGTAGCCAGTGAAGTATAGCGACCAGAGGGTATAGCCTAATGCGAATTAGAGTGAAAAAATAAGTGCATCCGGTAAAAATAAAGAAACCTATCAGCAATATTGTCCTTTATAATCAACTTGGATTACGACACGGTGTGAAGTTTATCTGTATTCCCCACTTTTCCTATTGCACAACTGTGTGATGAACAGAAGACGGGACAGATCCCATAGTCTCGAAGACACGCTGTTCAGCGATGGTAACCGGCAACTCAAACCCCGGGACTTGGAGTGGCGAACCACATAAGACCCCGCAATGTTAAAAGATAACAATCTAAACGAAACGACAATGGAGATGAAGCACTATAGAGATGGGGAAGAGGTTTTTCCAAATGGATGCCAAAGACTTAAGGGCACGACGTATATATGTATATATTTTACACCGGGTGCTAATCAATTATGGTGCCAACGCCAAAACAATGATAATAATAACAAGAATAGGGGATAGGTGGATTGGGGTACAGAGCAAAGTGGAAAGAAGGTGAAACAGGTAAATAAGGGAAAATGGAAGATAACTGGGATAGTAAATATTCTGTATTTCACCGTACACTTTTTGATAACTTTTGTTATTTTTATGGAGTACAGGATTTTGACAGGCAGACCGTACAGCATTCGCGCCGCTGACTTTTATTCTGAACCATATATCTCAGCGTCTCTAACCAACCATAATCCTCATCCTTTGGGACCCAACCTGGAAAGCGGGCTGCACCAACTGAAGCCAACTCAATAATGCGTCTAGCCCATTTCATGGTCCGATCGCAGCGCGGCTTCTTCCAGCCTTTCCCGGTACGTTCGAAGAGAACATGGAAAGGTAGTCGATGGGCAAGCATACGCAATATGTGACCAAGCCATCGGAAACGATGTAGAGCGATTACTTCCGTTGGAGAACAACTATCCGCACCGAACACACGACGACGAACCTCGTCATTACTCACCCGGTGTCCCCATTAGACAAGCAATGCTACGGAGACATCGATGGTCAAATACAGCTTGTCAATTAGCATCTTCAACGCGGAGGGGCCAGGTCTCGCAACCGTAAAGGAGAACGAACCGCGGCGATGTACACCCTTCCCTTAAGGGACAGTCAGATGTCATGGTGGCGCCACAGGTGTCGCAGGTTGGCGAAAGCTGCTCTAGCTTTCGCTATTCGCGATGTGAACTCCTCCCAACGACTTCACAAACTGCGATCAAGCTCCCGAGGTACTTAAAGCTCTTACCTACGTCTAGCTGATCACCACAAAGGGTAAGTGCAGGCACAGGCTCCTGCCAGTCTTGAACAATCACTTTGCACTTGGAATGTGCAAAGCACTCACTATACCTGGATACCTCTATCACCAAGCGGTTCAAAGCGTTTTGGACTGCCTGTGTGTTGTCACCCGGCAAGGCGATCACATCGGCATATTCCAAGTCAAGAACTCTGTTTCCTTTGCTATACCGGACAAAGCATTCTGTAGAGCATCCTCTATGGCGAAGTTAAAAAGAAAGGGGGATATAGAGCAACAGACAAACAAACAAACCAAATCCTTCTTGATTCTCATACACGCGTATTTAAAACGCAAATCGGAGATACAAGAACAACACAAGGATACCAATGGATATAGGGGAATCGTGCTGAACTCCACTGGAGACGGCGAAGGGTGGCCAGAGGCCCTAACCCGATCTGAGGTATGACGATACAACTCTTTGAGGATCGACACATACTTCTCAGGTACTCCATTCCTTAATAAACAGTTCAATAGTGCGGTCCTATCGACAGAGTCGAAGGCCGCGCGAATGTTTAAGAATACAATGACCATTAGTCTTTGGTGGGCATGACGGTGCTCCAGCAGCGGTCGGAGGGTGGAGATTTGATCGATGCATCCAAAACCGGGGCGAAACCCAACCTGCTCCTCACGGGTCTGCTCTT